AGAATCTATCAACAAAAACAAAGATGCAATCATATCCATGTTGTGTCTTAGGTAACCCAACAACAAAAATCTATTGAAAGATCCTTTCATGGAAAGTTTAGAATAGGAAGGGTTTGATACAATCTAGTGTTTTGAACACCTCCCTTGGTTTTGATAAACAAAACATCTCTTTAAGATTACCAAAATTATCTCTCCTTAAAAAGAGGTTTGGTTTTGTCTCTCCCTAAATGGCCTTCAAGACCACCATTATGCAATTCTTCAATGAAAAATAGTTGTAATGATCCTTATGGTAGGCAAAGTTGATTTCCCTTAAAGAGATAATTATTTATAAGCATGTAATCTCTATTATTCTTATCTTTTAACTCTTGTAAGACCTTAGGGAAAAAAAAGATTCAACTGTATATCAATCGAGCATCAAATTAAAACTAGTAATTTCATATGAAAGTATTTTCAACAAGTTGAACTTACGACTTAAAACAACGAGCAACTTTGTTCGATGAGCCCATTTTGTAGTCGAGCAATAAATTGAATTTCTCCAAATAAGCAACCTAATTAGCATGGAAAAATTTTAGCTTCCTCCGAGCTTTGAGAAATTGTAGAGCTTCATGGTCCGAGTATAAGATAAATTCCACCCTAATAAGACAACATTCTTAATGTCGTAAAGCTTGAACTATGACATATAGTTATTTGTTGTAAGTTGAATATTTCTTCTTGACATCATTGAATTTCTCACTCAAGTAAGCAATTCTCTTACATTGTTGCATGAGAATAGCACATATCCCCATATTATAAGCATCACATTTAACTTGAAAGGTTTCAAACAATCAATCAAGGCTTTTACATATGATGTCATTAGTTTTGACTTCAAATGCGAAAACTTTCATCCGCCACAATAGTCCATCTAAACTCTTTATTTTTTAACACATCCATCATTGGAGATACAAGAGTATTAAAATTTTTGATGAATCATCTATAGAATAAAGCCGGATCATCAAAACTTTGTATATCGGTGAAGCTTTTTGGAGTTGGGTAATCAAGAATAGCCTTCACCTTTTCTTCATTCATTTGCAAGCCTTCTGCACTCACAACATAGCTTAGAAAGATAATATTATTAGTAAGAAAACTACACTTACTAAGATTAACATACAATTGGTTGTTGTGGAGTACTATGAACACATTAGCTAGATGCTCTAGGTGTTGATCTTTGTCTTCGCTATACACTAATATGTCATCAAAGTAGACAACCTTATATTTTCTCATAAACTCCTATAAAACATACATCATTAGTTTCACAAAAGTGTTGGGAGCATTTGAAAAACCAAATGGTATAACAAGCCACTCATATAGCCCTTCCTTTGTCTTAAAGGTCGTTTTCCATTCATCACCAAGCCTAGCACGATTTTGGTGGTAGACACTCCTAAGATCAATCTTAGAGAATAACTTCGTTCCAATGACCATATAAAACATATGATCACGTCGAGGTATTGAGAACCTATACTTCACTATGATTTTGTTTATGGCCCTTCTATACATATACATCCTCTAAGTTCTTATCTTTTTTTAGGTAATTAAAAGAGCAAGCATATCACAAGGACTAAGTGACTCTCTAATCAGCCTCGTAAACAATAAAGCTTTAACTTGTCTTTGTAATTCAGCATGTTTTTTAGGTGGCATTCTATGATGACATAAGTTAGGAAGTATGACACTTGGAATGAGGTCGATCCGGTGTCGTATGTCACAAATAAAAACCAAACTAACTTCCTCAAGAGCTAGGCCTTCAAATTTGTCCAGCAAGCTTTTAACTTCACTATGGACTTCTTTTCTATCATTATAGCAACCCCCCTTAATAACTAGAGCATATATAGCCTTTTCCTCGTTGGATTACTCTAATTCCTTGTATAAGATCTAATGAATGGAACTTTCGGATCGAACACTCGCTAGAAACTTCCTTTAAAGGTTGTAAAACAAACTTTGTTATACCCTTAACTAGAGAATAATTATTCTTCCTTGCATCATGATGAGCATTTCAATCAAATTACTACGGTCTACCAAAGAGAAAATGACATGCATCCATAGATAGGACGCCAAAGTGAATTTCATATTCATACTTCCTCATAGAAAACTTGACTTTACACCTCCAATTCACCATGACCTCTCTTCCCTTCTTGAACCAAGATACTTTATATGGTATAGGGTGGCGAACACAATTCAATTTCAATTTGTCCACCATAAATTTTGAGATCATGTTCTTCACACTACTTGAGTCAATCATCGAAACACACTTCTTTCCTTATGACAAGTAGTAGTCATAACACGTTGAATAACAAGACTTTCAACATCAAAATTTGGTTCATAATTTTTCTCTTTGACATCATCTTCATAATCATTAAAGATGGGCTCTTTTTCTTTCTCCCCTTGCTCCTTAACCGTAAGGTTTAGTTTTTCCTTCTTTTTTGAACATTCATAAGAACGATGGCCAATTTCACCACATCGAAAAACACTTAGTGTTCAAAGAAGTAGTAGCTCTTCCTTGTTCTCTATTTCTTGCCCCAAAACGTGAGTTTGGATGGTCAAAGTGTTGTGCTCTTCTTAGCTTGCGAACTGCCTTCTTTTTTCCAATCTTAGAGCCTTTTCCTTTCTTGAAAGAACCCCACCTATTATTTTCTTCAGCTTTGAGTGCCAGTTGGTAAGCCTCTTCCAGAGAATGAATTGAATGCAACATCAAATCTGACTTTAGATTAAATTTCAGCCCACATATGTATATAGCCACAAGCTGATCATCATTTTCATTCAAGCTAATTTGACTCGTTAGCTTATAAAATTGATCAGTATAATCAGCCATAGATTGGTCATTATGTTGGTGCAATTGATGAAACTTTTAGTAAAGTGTTTATGATAATCCAGAGGGAGAAATTTTTCAACTAGCTTCAATTTCCATCTCAACCCATGTATTGATTCTTAGAACACCTCTCCTATCCTGGCTTCTTTGATAATTTTCCCACCAAATTAAAGCATAGCCCTTCAACTTTGTTCCCAAATACTGCACCTTTCTTGCATCAGTAAGATTTTTTCCATTTAAAGAAAGCTTCTAAGGAAGCAATCCAATCGCAGTATTCATCCGTGTTAGGCCTTCCCTCAAAATCTGGTGCAGTTACTTATATGCTTATGTCTATTCCTTTAAGTGTTCGTACTAATTCATCCATAACCCAACGATCACTGACTATGGGTTTTGAGTTCACTGCTAAACTAGAAGAATCAACCTCACTTCTTCCAACTTCACTCCTTGCAATTCTATCACTTTTTGTTGGAGATCTCCGAAATCTTTGAAGAAGATCAGCCACATTTTATTGTAGAGCCTCATTAGAGTGGCATAATCCAGCCATTCTAGTCGGGAATTCGACTTCCTCAATGTTTCTTCTTCTTCCACGCACCATCTTAAATGTTTTGAAAGAATAGAATGAAATTTTTGCAGTAGCTGACAGTTTGACCTTCCCTCAGTCAATTACAGATATCTCCTTGGAGAAAATTCAAAATCGAACACCATTTCTTTCTAGAAAGTAGACAAACAGGGCTTTCTGGAGGAAGTTTCGTAGAGACCTGCCACTCAATATAGTTAAATAAAAAAAAAAGTCACATTGGAATCTGATGCAGCACACTAGGAATAACTTCGTTCCAATGCTCTTATACCAATTTGATGCAGGCTGGGTTTAGGAGCCAGAAAAGGATGGGAAAATTACAGAGGACAAAGGGATTAAGATGAAAGAAAGGTAGTCCTAAGATGCCACTCAACCCGGGATAGCAGATGCCATTCGACGTGGCCAAGACACTCGTTTGATTGGTTTAGGAGGAATCAATCAACTCCAAGCAAGGATTCTTGCTAGACAAAAGTTTTCTGTTGAATTGGAAGTGATGATCTTTCATTGTGATTTCATATATAAATACCATAAAAGATAGCCATTGCACTTCCTAATAGTTAAAGCTATGCCATGTTTCCATGATGAGAATTTAAAAGATAAACAATTCCCTAAGAAGCATAATAGTTTCCAGCAAAATTTTATTGAAACCACATCAACTAAGACTCCTAGGATAAATGAATTGTAGAAATTGAGGCTGTATTTATGCTCCTGCATCACAACTAATTAAAACTGATTCTGATAGGATTCAACCACACTTTGGAGTTCAAGCAAGATCATTAGCCGTGAAAAATATGTTTTCATCGAAAGATGTTATCCTACATAGGAGAAGCACCATTAAACACAACGTCTAGTGTTGCAAATAATTTTAAATAAAGTGAAAACTATAAATCTAATAAAATGTTCACTAGGCCGGAGTGGAGGAGTCTTCGGGATTCGGTGGATCCGGAGAAATGAAATTACTAGAGTTGGTTTAGATTAGATCAGGGAAAAGCTTAATTAAGACATGAAAATGTGAGATTTCGACAAGATGAAATGCGAAGAGTACTTCTTCCACCACGCGAAACAGAGAATAGGATCATTCAAAAGGTTTACATCAGAAGCAAGAAGAGAGGAAATATAACCTCAGGATCGTCCACCAAATTCAATGGCACATATCTTCGCCATTCAACATAAAGAGTGGGATAACTGGTTTGTATTTCTAGGAGAGTACGTCCACAAATAGGAAAAATTTAGAGCCCTTGCATGTAGAGATAATATCTTCAGCAAGTTTATCCAATAAGGTGCTTGATGTGTTTCCAAAACCACATCCTGATACCCATATCTATGGCAAAAGAGACCTCATACTTAGATTGGAACATTCATGACACACATTGATTTCATCATTAAGAATAAATAAATAACTGTCAACAACGGCGCTACCTGCATGCACATACTATATAACCTCATACTTAGATTCTCAAACACACCAAAAAAAAAACCTCTCTTCTCCTCTCTCCCTCTCTCTCTCTATCCCTCCATTCACAGACTAAAGAAAGAAACAAGAAGCAAGAAAAGAACTGCTCGATCTTTCCTTCATTTTCTCTAATGGAAGAAGAATTTCAGGAAGCCCTAACAAGCCTTCACAATGTTGGTGATTGGCAAGGTTCTTCTTCTTGTTCTTCTTCGTTTGATGATTGGCATTATTCTTCTTTTCAACAAACCCTACTCCAAGAAACCTCTATTGTTGGTTTTGTTATGGCCAATATTATAGTGAGTCGCAGATATGGTATAGTATTCTTTAATTACCGTGAATCAGTTCTACTTGTATTTGAGCCAAGAAAGCTTGATGATCGAAGTTCTGCTATTAAGGTCTTGAATGCTGATTATCTTGAACTGGGTTATCTTGATAGATCAGTTGCTACTGTTTTATCTCCTTTGGTTGAAAATAAAATGATTAATGTTAAAGTTATGGTGCCTGGATCAAGAACTAGTAGCAATATGTTGGTTCCTTGCCAAGTAAGTATCTCTGCAAAATTAGATGATTTTGAAACTGTTAAAACTGCAATTTCGCAAGGTGGGTTGATCTTAGTTTCCCAGCCGGGTTCAAGTTTTGCATCATTTCATGATGAGGCTATGGTGGTTAAAGAAAAGAGTAGTACAGCTGGACATAGGAATGTCAATGAGAAATTAAGGTTGGTTGAGGGGAATGAGAACAAAAGAGGGCGAAAGCGGTTCAGCAACTACGAACCTCTCTGTTTGCACACTCAAGAACCGGAGATTATTGAAAACGAGAGTGGAGTTTGCCTTTCTGAACATACTTTTGAAATTGAACTAGCAAACATCAATGCCAAACCTGCCTTGCAAGTGGAGCCAGAGCACTTAAATTTCATCCCCATTGGCGCAGTAGGGCATAATAAGGTCAGTGTTGAAGGTGCTTGTTCTAATGGAATAATTCCAGTGATTGTGTTCCGGAACGTAAAGGGGACTGGCCTGACTGAATGCTTGGCTTCTGATCCATTGTTCTCTAGTTTTGAAGATTTTGAAGGTGCCAACTATCCCACCAACTATTGGTCAGAGACATTTCCTAAGATGTTGTTGCAAGCAAATGAAATCCGGAGAACTCCCTTAAAAATACTGTGGTAGAGATGATCCCTGATCACTTCTATGAAGATTGTTTACTCTGTAGATGGCAATTAGTAACAGTCAGGATTTACTTACTTTGACTCTATAGAAGTTGTACGCTACAATTTGTAATGATGTTATACATCATGAATACTTCAACAATTTATCTTTCATTTGCTGCTGTACTGTATGATCTGCTTTAGAGTCCTGCATGCTATGTTCAGGTGGTTTCGGTTAGATCAATTTTAAAGGGTTTTAGGACTGTACTTCTTGCATGTTGTGCTACTTTTGTATTTTTTTTGAACCCCATGTTTTTATTTGTGAAATAACCTTTGATTGTTGCCTTTCCAAGTTTTCTTTGCATATTAATGAGAGGTATGATAGCAAGTTCAAAAACTTAATCTTGCTCACCTTTTTTCTTTTCTCCGCTCCAAGGCTTCTTGATCACCAGAAGTTGAATCCCCCATCCAGTTTGAAAAAGAAAAAGAAAATACAATTTCAACATATATTGCAAAGGACATGTCTGGATACTATGCATCATCTCTTGGAGTTTCTAGGGAATTATATATCTAGCGCGTCACGTTCTGCTTTTCATGGAGCACAGTTCGGATAAGCATTGCAGATGCAGCAAAGATGGTGCACGTTGTTAAAACTGATGCTGTTGAAAGAAAGCATTTTCGGTGACAGGAAAAAGTAACACTACAGTCGAAATCTACGTCCAGTATGGTCATGGGAAAATCAGCCAATACCCTGGTTAGCGTAGCCTAAATCAACTCAAACTAACGTACTAAATTCCACAATAAATCATGGGATTATAATAATTAATTACGTGCCTATATATAATGTAGCACTCCCCATTTTTCAACCATTAAAATATATATATATATATATATATTAAATTAGATCAGCTTTCTCCAACTTGCTGCTGCTCTATTATTTGTACAAGAAATTCAATGGAGGTTTAACTTTTGTACAAGAAAACGTAAGTTTATGAATTCAGAATTAGCTTTTGAAGTTGCTGAAGATGGTGGTACGTATAATCCAGATTATTCAAAGCGTCACCATTTATCCAGTAATCAACGCAGAACCTATAAGATCATAAGGTCACAAGCTAAAGAACCGCAGCAGATTATCCAAAATCAGGAGATGTGGCTTGAGGAGGCTACTGCTTCATTAGAGGGTGATGGAGGTTGCGCTACTGAAGATTCTTTCGATAATGAGATATCATTCATCAACATTGGACCTGCCTTGCAAGTGGAGATGAAAATCAACAGATATATGTTGCTCGCAATTTTCAATAATGATCATGTGTTAGAAATAATTTCTGTTGAGAATGATGATATTGAGCCACTAGATCAATCAGAAGCTGTCTTAGATGGTTATGATGATATGAGCTAGATCATTCAAAGTCTCAACGAGTATCCAATCATCAGCTTCGAATATATGATGCCACTCACTGAAGAATCAGAAGATGCGGATTGGAGTTGTCCCTACTGAAGATTGAAGATTCGTTTAAGGAAGATCTTGATATAGGACGGAACAAATGTCTTGGTGCAATGCTTGGTTGTGTGTTTTTTGTATTTGTCTTCGTAGGACTATATATGTTCTAATATTTAGTACTAGATTTTAGGTTTAGCCTACTTCCCAATTTGTAAGTACAAACACTCGAATTTATCAAAATGAAGTATTGCGTTTTCTTTTTATTTTCAATTTATTACAGTGAGTTTTTCTTAATTTGGTGTCAGGCATGTTTATGTTTGTATGATGTCTTCTTGTTAATTAGAATATGCTGGTGCTCCTGGTGAACCTTGTTTTGAAAACTTACCAAAAATTATTTGCCTTATATCTCTCGAAATATAAAAAAAAATGAGATCATCTTCAAATGGTACAATCTGATAAACATATGTATCAAAATTTGAACCTCATCAGTTGGTTTTAAAATAGATCAGGACAGAGCCTAAAACCTGTGTACATGAGATTTCAACAAGAGGAAGCGTTGGCTGGCCATTTTTCTCCCTAAAAAGTCATTGAATACAAGAAAAACTCACTAATTTAAAACATCAGATCACAGCCCTGCAATTTTCTTCGGAATATCAGGGTAAAGAGAGCAACAATAAGTGATCTTTTTCATCCATTTTTCTCTATTGTTACTGGGCATTATGGCCCCTTTCATACACTCAAAATACCACATCTTAAACCGTGGTTTATAAAAAATAAATAAATAAATACCATTCTAGTAAAAATATGCAGCTTACAAGAAAAATTGCAATCAATGATCAACACTTGCAATTACAATTACCAATCTTCACAAAAATAAATTAATAGGCTAACTTATTATCAAGCAAACAAACAAATAAACTACATGAAGGAGCGAAGAATGAGTGAACGCTTGCATTATCTTGTTTAAGTCTCAACACCATCCATTTGTGGTCCTGACAATTATCACTTTCCCTAATAAATTCTCTCAGCTGTCGATACTGGGCGCAGGAAGACGACAATGACTGTAATATTGTCTTTGCTGCCTCGTTCTGCAGCTTCTGTTGCCAATCTCTTGGAGCACATACCAGGTTCTTTGACAGTGTCCTTGATTATTCTTATGACATCTGCACTGCTCATAACATCCCAAAGTCCATCGCTGGCCATCACCTGCAAATTAAATGCATTGCTTTCATTTACATCCAATAGAACATCAAAAAATGTGTTCATTTGTAATCATTTTGGCAATGATAACAATTAACAATGGATCATTGCATATCAAATTCTTTTTGCATCAATCTCATTTTGAGCAATACAACGACAGAGTGTAATTTAATGTATAAAAGAAAAGCATATAAAAGGCATCTACTTCAGAAACAATCGGAAGCAATTCTAACAATGCAGCCTATCAATTTTCAAACACTGACATGTTCTTATAAACCCACATTCTTCCTCTCAAGAAGGCAAACTGAAGGAATAAGGAATTCAGCGCACAAGGAAATGTTTGCAATAACAAGACCTAGACAAAGCAGTGGTCATTACCAGGAATTCATCTTCTGCTGACAGTACAGTTTCTATTATCTCAGGTTCTGCAGTTACAGCAGGCTTCAGATCATCATCACCGATGGATCGAGTGACCTGTTAAAAGAAATTAGTTAACTAAACCATTTCATTGGAGAGAGGTAGGTGCAAGAAGAAATGAAGAATGGTTAAAAAACTTTTGTCAGTCACTGTTTGTAAAACTTCCCCAACTAAGAAAGATAGACAGACTAGGAAACAAAAGATTTACTGAACCATGAATATAAATAGAAAGCCTGAATATATCTTGAGAAGATCCAATATATATGTCAGTCTGAAGGCCAGTATCAGAAATCAGAAGCAATTACTGGGCACAGATCCAAGAAAAGTGTTCACTTGATACGCATTAGATGTATAATGGATATCCCACTATAATATTTTTTTATGTTATCGCTGGGGATCCATTGACACATGCAATCAAGATCTGTTTCAGATACATTTGGGTTTAAAATGTTTCTTCCAGTGAAATAGTGGGTTTAAATCATATCTATGCTGAGATATAAAAGGGATATTTTTCCATTTAAATGACTTCTTCTCTAAATTCTAGTTTGTAATTGGATACAAGGATCCCTACTGAGCCTTCAATTAAACGTGGGAAATTGACAATGATGCATAGATATAAAGGACCTGCTTAGAAGAAAAAACGCTACTTGCCTGGAGTGCAGCATTTCCAACCCTCCAAGTATCAACTTGCCATTTAACTTGGCCCCCGGCACTAAGCACACGCTCCCTCTCCTCAATGCAGCTTGCAACATGATCCTGAATTTTCAAAGTCAACCAACTTCAGAAAAATAAAAACTCCTAAGAAACAACAGAACTGAAAACAGTGTGTAAATAAGTACAGCTGACCTTACTTAGAGGAAAGGCTTTGCCAGCTCGACACAAAATTGTCTTGCAATCACCAGCATTTGCAACAAAAAGCTTGTTTGTTACTATTAAAGCAACAATAGCAGTGCAGCCAGGATGCCAGTCTTTCTGAACAACTTTCCTGGATTTACAATGAGCATCCAGTTCATTTCTGAATGCAACATCTGTACTCACAAATGCTTCAATTAATGCGGTGTCGGGGCTGCATTGATGTAAAGGATTTAATTACTTGAAGGGTGGGCTTATCATAGGTATAATTGTTGAAAGGGGAAAACATCCAAAAGTAGCTACCTGCTAGCAGAACCTATACTTTGCAGAAACCCCGGTATTGCTTGAGCGGAAAACTCAGCAGCTGCTGCACCTGAAGATGCACCAGTAAACATGTATTACATTAGTATTCAACGAAAGTACTACTCCAATTCAAAAAGGGGGAACACTACGAGAAGTAGTGGGATCAGACTGTGGAAGAATGATTCTAATCCACTAGATATATTAGAAATATGGTAATTAATTGTCCACTGAGCTCTAGAAGTAATTCAAATCAATTCTTCATCAAATTCAGCCCAAATATATTACTTCTATTGAAAGTGAGCATCATACCTCTATGACCATCAAAGATACCAAAAGCATGAATATCCTTTTCGTTGCACAGGTGAGGCAAAAGGAAGTGTGTATCCTCCATAGTCTCCCTTTTACCGCATGTGGCAAAGGATCCCCAGGAAAGTATTGGATGATAAGCCAGACCAACATTTGAAGAATCAAGCCAAATTCTCAAACTGGAATCTACTGCAGATCTCTTTGATAGAACTTCTCCCTGAGTGGACCAATTAGTAATCTCCTGGTATGTTCTAAGATTGTTGGCACTATCTGCTAGTTGATCTCCATGTGCAATAGAATATTTGTCAAGGACCAAATCTTTTTCAATTGATTTCTTTCTGCTCTCCAAAATTGGATCAAGTTCCAACAGTATATCAGCAAAAGAAGGCCTATTTTGAGGGTTGTCATCCCAACACCTCTGCATTAATGAAATTATGCTTGCCGAAGCACCTGAACCAGGACCAGCAAGAGCAGGTCGTAATTTATCAGACACCACGGCTGCTGTGAGTTGCTGCTCAGAATAGTTCATCTCCAGTACAGTGTGGGCCTGCCAGTGTTTATGATTACCAAACCAATGTTAAGTGAGGAAAGCAGAGTATGCCAGACATAATTTCATATGTCCACAAAAATCTAACAAAACTTTGCATTTTCAAATTCAAGAAACTCGCTCAGCCTCATCACACAAGTAGAACAGTTATGATATTGTTCATGTGTCTTTTCAGATATGACTGCACATGCATACTTTATCAAACATCATAAATAAATAAACAAAACAAAAGATGTGACACTTTGTGTGTGCCTGTGTTTAATAAACGGTTTGATAACTTTTTTCAGCAAACACATACAATTAGATGCTAGGAGGCTAAAATTAATTCTGGTTGCCAATTGTTTTCTATTACAGAACACCAATAATAGCAAAAAATTGATTGCATCAGAACACAAGACAAACTCAAAACAGATTACTACAGTTCAGGAAATTTTAAAAAAAAATACAAATAACAAGCCAAACAAAAGAAAGACTGACCTGAGCTTCTGCGCGAAGATCGGTATATGGGACAACACCGGTAAGAAGCTCACTGCAATAGAATAGCAGTTAATTTTCATTTTCATAGGGGAGGAAACCATATGAATAAAAAGAGTGCCTGGTTATATGAGATAGAAGGAACATAAACCTTATGCCATAAATAGGTAAGAATTTCAGCCTAATCATGTATAACAGCATAAACTAATCAAGTTCCACCTAAACTGATACATCCAGCTCTTAATACTCTCAACTAACTGAGCCTAAACCCATTATAAGACTACATAGGTCCTTTTCTTTTTCAATTCTACTGTTTGGGCCAAATTTTCTGGATGGATACTTCTATAACTATTCAGTGGTGAAATCAATCACAAAGCATATTGTATCGCTTCTTATCCCAGCAACAGTTACCTAGCTGATAAAGCAACTAAATAAATAAGTTACTGTGTGTAAATATTGAGATCACAAGAGGATTTGTCTTTCCATTGCTTGGTCCAGGTTAAAATTATTCAACTGAATCATATTCAATTACTCCTATTCAATGTCCCTGAGTATTTAAAAAGTGATGTAGGCTTCCAATAATGAGAAGCTTACATTCGAACCACCCAATTATAATTTAACTTCTAAAGTAAAAACATGCATGTACGTTCTTCTCTTGGTTCAGTATACAGAAGCTTTCCAAGTTAGAGACATGTCTCAAAGCCTTACTTCATGGATATTCCAAAACTATAGACATCTGATTTTTCTGTGTGTATCTCCTTCCTCAATATTTCTGGAGCCATATAAATGAGTGTGCCAACCATATTCTTTTTATGGAAACCACCGGTTGGCTTTCCTGATGATCTCCAGTTTTCAAAAGAAACTCCTTTAAGATTCTTCTGGTATTCTGCCAAACCAAAGTCCGCTAAGTATGGACAAAGGTTTTTATCAAGCTGCATCACAAAAAGCTTTCTCAAAATTCTGTGTAGACAATTTCCAATACCAAAAACAAACCATGGATGGACTAGAAGCTTATGGAAGAAAATTACAAGAACGTTTGCTGGTTTCACATCCCTATGGACAATCTCATGGTTATGCAGATATTGCAAAGCCTTTGCTGGAAGAAGAAAACAGTGACAAGGAAAAACAATGTAACATCACCCTACAAAGTCCTTAGAAAAACTTCTAATTTACCAAATCAATACAAATATACATTTTAGTGAAAACTCCTCTTGCATCCAGCACTACCACAGAACATCCATTCCAAAATTTAATCTTGAAGTGAAAAGATTTTGAGTTAAAACAAGTCATACCCAACTGGACTGTGATCATGAGCACCTGATCCATATTTGGATTCCATTCTTCCACATGTAATTTCCCAGCAAGATTACCAGATTCATAGAATTCAAAAAGAACATATAATTTGGAGGCTTTGCATGAGCTGCAACCAGCTTGGCTATTCCAGGATGATCTAGCTTGCTTCATTATTCAACAAAAACAAATGGTAAGAAAAAAATTAAACATATACTAAAATGTTAATGCAACAAAACCCATTCTCTATTTCATCTACAAATTGCAATGGAATTTGAATTTCACCAGAACCCATTAAAATCTAAAATTCTTGCAAACCACATGTTCCCATTAAAAAAAACAAGTTAAAAGAAAAAGATACCATAAGAGTTGAAGCTCCTTGTGAAATTTATCAATATCCTCAGAAGTAGACAAGATTGGTTTTTTAACAGCAACTTTTCTCCCATCCAAAATAGCTTCGTAAACCACACTCTCAGCCCCTGCACACACAAAAATAAAACACCAATCACGAAAAAGAATAAAAAAATCCAGATGCAAAAACTAAAAAAGACTCAAACTTTTACTAAAATTGAAGAGTTTTTTACTTACCTTTGGCAATTGGAGAGAGGAGGGTGTAAGAAGAACGAGGGAGGTAAAGTGGGATTGAATTGCTAGTACAGCACCCTCTAATGCAGGAGTTTGGCTCTACAATTTCTAACCCCATAATGTTATTTTACCCCCTCCCTCTATTCTCTAGGCAGTTTAGAAGAGAGGAAGAACTGATAAAAAAAAAAAAATAGTGCTTTTATGGATTTTGAGACAACACTGAAGTGATGCCAAACCAGTTACGCAGTTTTTTTTTTTTTTTTTTTTGAGGAAATTTCCTTTCATGGCTGTTTTTCTGTTAGTTTGTACTGGTTCGGGTTTTGACTAGGGGTGGAGAACCCAATTTCTGAACCGAACCAAATTTCGTTCAGCGGTTTGCAAACCTAGACTGAAATTGGGTCAAGTCAGAGCCACCCTAATCCGGTTCGTAAGTTTTACTGGTTTGATTTATTAGTTAACTGGTTAAAATGTTGGTTAATGTACTTGTTTATCTTTTCCTACTTTCGTTTGGAAACTTTATAAAGAATGAATTTATAATTTTAAACCATGTACCAACTCCGGTAAAATTGGTTCAATTTGGTTGATTGGGTAGTAGTTTGTTCGATTTGGACCTTTGGTCAACAACTGGTTTGATATAGATTAAGATTAATTTTTTGTTTTTGTTTTTTTTTTTAATTAACTCGAACCACATGTTTGACAAATAAAATATAAATTAATCCTTTTATTTTTTTAGAAACGATCTAGTTGATTAATTTCTTTTGTTTTAAAAATTAATTATTTAGTTTTTTAATTAATATTAATAGTATTTAATTTGATATTATTTATTTCAAAAAATATCTTTTTTATCAATCTTTTTATATTATCATATATATATATAAAGAAACAGAAAAAAATTCTTATAAAAATAATACTAACAATATCTCCTTAGAAAAATATAATGTAGTGTTGAAGACTTGAACCCACAATTCACTAGCAAATAATACATGTTTTACAACAAATATTTTAAGGCTAGATTATTATATAATTAGAGAGATCGGGTAATGAATCTCTAAAAATAATTAAAAAATATATATATATATATATTGAGATGAAAACATTCTTATTATTTTTTTGAATTCAGATATAATGTAGTAACTTTTCTAAATATAAGTAAAACTATTTTAAATTTTCTCATAAAAATAATACATCTTCTCGCTCAATTTTGACAAGCTATCCTTCGTTGGGCCGGGTTTAAATATGACTTCCCTTTCTATATCTAGGCTTGGACTTTAAGCCCATATTTGGGGTGGTGGAATTCATCTCGGACTCATTCCAAATCTTCACTTTTATGCTCGGCTCATTAAATCCAATCCTTAAGAGCGAAGGAAGTGACCAACTAACTTTCAAAATCAACCACCACAAGTTACCTAAAGATCTCCAAAATTTTGTTCTTTAGCAGAGAAGAAACGAACACAGAGAATCGAATAAATCTCTTTTGGTTGACAAAGACGACGATGAATAAATCCTGTTTGATAGTCTTGAGTGTGCTGGTTTTGCTTTGTGGGTGTTATACTGAACTGGGTCTTTGTAGACAAGACAACTTCTTGAAGATGAAGCTTGGTGATGTTCATGATTGTAAGGGTTCTCAAAATAGTGGCGAGATCGATAGCCTCGCTCGTTTTGCTGTTCAAGAACATAACAAGAAAGAGGTTTTTTTTTTTTTTCATGATCTTTTATATTTCTTTATTGCAATTCCTTGAATTCTTTTTTTTTCCTGCCTTTTTTTTGAGGTGGTAAGATATATTAATGATTCGAGGGAGATCATAGAGAAATTTATATAGTCTTAAATTTTTGTTTAGATTAGATATGGGTTGTGATTTAAATTTTTCTATAGTTTTGTTTTCTTCCTTTTTTTGGGTGATTTATATGTTAATTCAGTCTTTATCTTGTTGTTTGATGTATCTTTTCTTTTTCTTTTTCTTTTTTACATTTATAAATGGTTTTTAGTTCATGATTAATTTTTCTTTTTATTGAATTTGTTGACAGATCAGAATGATGGATATTTGACTCATGACAAAAATAATTTCTAATTATTTGAATAAAAATGTTTACTTTATAGTCATGGGGATAATATATGACATATATATGTGCATAAATGTTTATTCTCAAGTGCTCACTCTTTTATTTGGACAAATTTTCTGTGAATCCCTTGCGCTTAAGCTGTTTTCTTGAGTCCTTTCTTATGTGTCCTAAATGGGTTCAATTTGATCATTAAAAGAGTTCAGAAAATAACAGTGGTACTTCACTTACCTTACTGTTTATTGTATGTTTGTCAATTTGATATCTTTTCCGGCAAGGTCCTAGCTTTTTTAGTATTTAACTTGGCTATTGTCTACAGAATGCTCTTCTTGAGTTTGTGAGGGTGTTAAAGGCAAAAGAGCAGGTGGTTGCTGGTAAGCTGTACCACCTTACTCTGGAGGCAATTGATGCCGGTAATAAGAAGATGTATGAAGTTAAAGTCTGGGTGAAGCCATGGACGAACTTCAAGAAGTTGCAGGAATTCAAGCATGTTGAAGGGGGTATTTCCTCTGACCTCGGAGGTAATGGATCTTGTTTATGTATATATTGATTGTGTTTTTACTTTTTTCTGTTGATGGTTGTAATGAGAATAGAATTGGTATGTGAAGTTTTCTTGTTATGCTTTGATTATTTGGTATGATGTTATCTTTTCTTTTTAAATTGGCCAATTTTAGTGTCCAATCTTAGCGAAATGTAGTCTTTTTTTTTTTTTTTTTTTTTTTTTTTTTTTTTTTTTGCTCAGAAGGGTGTTATGGATTAGTAGTTAGTTTAGTTGCAAAATAGTGATTAATCAGGCACATTATGCAAATCAGATGGTCATGGATTGGGATGGCAAATGGTGCCAACAAACGATCTTGAGGTCCAGGATGCAGCAAATCATGCTGTTAAGTCCATTCAGAAGAGGTCCAACTCACTGAACCCTTATGAACTCTTAGAGATCCTTGTGGCGAAAGCCAAGGTTGGCATTTTACTATGTTGTGACTCGCAAATTTAGCCTTCATTGTCCCTACTTGGATTGATCTTTCCCATCTGTGCACGCTTTGGTAGGCAAATGTGGAAGTTCTCTGACTGATTTTTTTCCATGGTTTGGTGATGCAGGTCATTGAAGATTACACCAAATTCAATCTGCTTCTGAAGTTGAGAAGGGGAATCAAAGAGGAGAATTTCAAGGTTGAAGCGATCAAGAACGTTGAAGGGAAGTTTTATGTGAATTTGATGCCATAATATGCTAAAACCGTGTGTGCCTTGGTGCTGACGGTACGGTATAGAACAATAAACACACCACTCTGGCAGCTATGCTTTATGTGAGAATATGTATATATCGATGCTTCATGATATAGATGTGGCTTTTATGAGTTACCTCCTTAATCATATTTGTATATATATACAAACGCTTGAGTTGACAACACATATACAATATCGACTGTTTATTAAATGCAGCTAAATGTCATTTTGTATCAATTGATTAGCATAATAATAATAGTAGTAGTAGTAGTAATAAAAACTTTCTTTATTCCAGACTTGGTGATAAACATCTTTGCATTGGAACCCAACCCCATCTAAACTCTACCCCTTCCCAAGTTCAAAAACTGATAATTGAAGTACAACCATAGCAGCAAAGTGCAAATTACATATCGGAAGCCATACGGTTGTACAAGGAGTAGCCACTGCTTGTAATGGAAAAAATAGTCTAGAGCAAACTACTTGAACACAATAAACAGTGAACAAAACATCATAACCAATCAAGCATATTTTCTTTCAGAATTGACAGCATCCCATTCTCTTCTAAAAATTGTGCCAAAGAGTTTCCTGTGTATTCTCATTTTGTCGAAAGCCCAAAGATTTCTGCATGTTTCCCCCCTTTATTGTTCTTACCTGCAAAAGGACATGCATAGAGGGGAATGAACAATAGAGATGCAGTGGGATTTTCTCTATACTTTATCTTTCCATCAGAACAATCTCAATTATTTTGAGACTATTCAAGAAATCTCAAGAAATGCATTTACTTCTTTACTGATAAAGCAGGCTCTCAATTCTACCTAGAGCTGCTGCTTCCCCACGCCCTCTTGCCTTTTTTTTTCCATATAGCTCGCAAAACTTGCAGCAAGTAGACGAGAGAAGATAGAATTTTTCCTTGATATATAAATACAACAAAGCAAACCTGAGAATTATATATCATAGATAATACATCACCAGTCATCAATAAAGCCCAATTTCTTCTCCAATCCCTCTGGCTAGTTATGAATTCGAATGTAATCCACCGATTTCCCTCAAGCCATTAGTTTCTATCATCTGCCAAACTTATTTTCAAGGATATATTGACTTCGAGAGAATGTTTCCTTGATATATAAATTTAAACAACATACTTTTAAGCAAGTTCTTTCTGCAGTGAAGATTAATTTCCCATAACTAGTGATGACACAAGTTATTTGTAAAGAAAGGCTGTTAAGGGCACCTATGAATTTGATTCCAAAAACTATATGAAATCCACTAATCAAACACAAAATAGCTACAAAAATAAGAAATAAATGACAGAATATCTGCTAAATGAGAAATAAAGCATAACATTACTGAATGAGAGTTGAACCTTAAAAACAGAAATATGAATATAACCCCTACATGTACCTTCAAGATTTAAAAGCTGACAGCATTAACTTTGCTTGTTCTTCTATCAATTCTTGCCGCTTCAAAAAGAGCTTCAATTCAGCCACCCGTAACTTCTTCCACTTCTCCTTCATCTCCGCCTTCTTCCTTCCATGCACAAAATCCAATCCCCTCCTCACAACATAATCATCCATTCCTCTAACACTCACACTGTTACAAAACTCCGAAACCTTTTTGACACCTTCCATTCTGTCCTCCCCCATATAAATATCCAAATCAGCCCTCAACACCTCTGAGGGTTCGGAATTATTTGGGGTTGACTGTTGGATTCCAGTGGTTGTGGTTTGTGGTGGAGGAGAAGGGGTTTGATTTTGTTCATCATCAGATACCTCTTCCTCCTCACCACTGGAAGTTTCTTCCTCTTCTTCTTCAGAGCTAGAAGTAGAGGGTGGATCTTCAACGGGAGGGGGCGTTTTGGTGCCATTAAGAAACAGAGAGTTAGGGCTTCGATAGAGAGTTTGATTAGGGTGTGTCTTTGAGGGGAGACAGAGAGCCGGCCCTAAACAAGGAAGACAAGAAGCCTTTAAATCTCACGGTAATTCTAGTTTTTAACCATTCGAATGTAGTCAGTAGGGAGCAGATAATTAAATATTAAATAAAAACTTTAAAATGATTATTTGTTTCAATAAATTTAAGCCAAATACTGTATCATAAATATGTTGTTTCCACACATTAATTATTTTCCTATTTTACTCAAATAATAACTAGTGAGAAACCTTTAAATCCCTACACACACATACATATATATAGTGGTGTGTAAAAAAATAATTAATTAATACATGTTTTCAATAAAAAGAGGATAATATTTTAAAATAACATGAATTTAAATTTTAATAAATTCAAAAAAAGTATTTTTATTTTCATTTTCATTTTTAATTTTTCTTTATGTAATTAATTCTTTATGTAGGGTTTGTTAATCTCAAAAGATATCAGATGCACAATAAAAAAAATAAAAAAAACATATAACCATTAGAAGAACAACATGTAAAATTAAGTATTCTTTCAAGTAAAAGTAAAATAATTAAAAAAACCCAAATTCAAATTAAAATTAAAAATTAAAAACCCTAACTCTTTGGTAAAAGCTAATTGAAATCCTTAATATTAATGTAACAAAATATAGCATTAATTATTAAATTATTAAAATTTTTAGAGCTCAATCATCCACACTTCAAAAGGGTTAATCACATCAAACGTTCATCTATCTTTTTTATTTTCTTAAAGTTGCCTCTTCAATTATTTTTCGACTAATGTTTCAATAAAAAATAACATCCGATAAAAAATTACCACATATCATGCTATGTCATATTAATTTACCATGTGAAAAAAAATAAAAAAAATGAGCTGAAAAATATATAATTTTTAATATTAAAAAAAAAACAAATTAATTACTCTCTCCCTTCCTTCTCTGTTTCAAATTAACTAACCATCAAAACAAATTAATTTTAGTTTTTAACCATTCGAATGTAGTCGGTAGAGAGCATATAATTAATAGGGATAATTATCATAAAAACTCTCTAAAAAAATCTTATATCTATGTAATCCATTAATCTATTTTTAAATCTCTCGAACCCAAAATAATATCTTTGTTACCAAAATACCCAATAATTAACCAACTTAACACTAGTTAATTATTGGGTCTTTTGGTAATATGATTTTTTTTTTTTTAGGTTTGAGAATTTAAAGAATAAATTGATGGATTTTTTAGATAGAAAATTTTTTAGAGATTTTTTCTAATAATAAACTCATTTCATAGTTTTTAATGAGTTTGATATTTATTATTTTTTTAATGATCAAGTCAAGTTTTTTTTTTTTATTGCATTCAAAAGGGGAAAAAAAAGTTTTTTGTGGTTCTTTGGCTTTTAAACACTAACGATCGACTATTTTGTTTTATTATATTAAAAAATTCCATATATTAAAGTTTTTTTTATCAACCATTTGTTTCATCAACTACGAGATTAATTTTACTATCTAGTAATTATATCAACCAATGCAATTTAACTAATTAATATTGATGAATGAGACTCTTGTTATTCTTTTGTAATTTAATCAAAATGTTATCATACAAATAAGAAAAATAAGAATATGTATGATTATGAACATTAGTGATTTCCTAAATCCTAATATATTGATAGAGAAAAAAAAACATTATTGGTAATACTAGTTTTTAATTAATCAAAACTCAACATTTTTGTATCAAACAATTAAATTAAATTAAAAGATGAATGTGTAACATATTTTGGTGCGTTAATTAAATAAAATATGATCATCCATAATAGAAATACATATCTTGAAATATAATGGTTTCATTTAAACTAGGGATAGTTACCAAATATATATATATATATATATATATATATATATATATATATATATATATATATATATATATATATATATATCTTCTATCTAAAAAATTCACTATTTTATTTTAAAATCTCCTAAACATAAAATTTAAAAATCTCCTAAACACAAAATAATATTTGTAAATCTCACATGTCTAAAATAATATTTTTCTTACCAAAACAACCAATAATTAACACTAGTGTTAATTATTAGCTATTTTAGCAAAAAAATATTATTTTGGGTTTGGGAGATTTAAAAATAAATTTGTGAGTTGTTTAGATAGAATATTTTTTAATAAGGTTTTTCTGATAATTATCCCTAATTAATATTAAATAAAAAATTTAAAGTGATTATTTGTTTCAATAAATTTAAACCAAATAATGTATCATAAATATGTTGTTTCCATACATTAATTATTTTCCTATTTTACTCAAATAATAACTAGTGAGAAACCTCTAAATCCCTAGACATATATATATATATATATGTGTGTGTGTGTGTGTGTGTGTGTGTCTAAAAAATAATTAATTAATACATGTTTTTGATAAAAAGAGGATAATATTTTAAAATAACATGAATTTAAATTTTAATAAATGAAAAAAAAGTATTTTTATTTTTATTTAGATTTTTAATTTTTTTATGTAATTAATTCTTTATGTAGGGTTTGCTAATCTCGAAAGATATTAGATGCAAAAAAAAAAAAAAAACATTAGAAGAACGACACGTAAAATTAAGTATTCTTTCAAGTAAAAGTAAAATTATAAAAAAAGCCTCAAATTCAAATTAAAAAAAAAAAAATCAAAAACCCTAACTCTTTGGTAAAAGCTAATTGAAATCCTTAATACTAATGTAACAAAATCTATAACACTTGAATCTTAATTTTCAACGATTGTTAAAGCATCCGCTTATTTTATTATTAAGTTATTGAAATATTTAGAACTCGGTCATCCACATTTTAAAAGGGTTAATCTCATCAAACGTTCCTCTACTTTTTTTATTTTCTTAAAGTTGCCTCTTTGATTATTTTTTGACTAATTTTCCAATAAAAAATGACATATGAAAAAAAAATTACCGCATGTCATGCTATGTCATATTAATTTACCGTGTGAAAAATAAAATAAAATAATGAGTTAAAAAATATATAATTTTTAATATTAAGAAAAAATTAATTACTCTCTCTCTTCCTTCTATGTTTCAAATTAACCCACCATCAAAAC